TGTGGGATGGGGGAGGATGGGAATGTACATAATATTTATAGGTGACATAATATATTTATAGTTGACCCTATGAGGAAATAGGATGTGATCAGTATAATTCATGTTCCTGAGGGAGAGTCATATTCTATGGCCCTAAAGTAGAAAAGCATACTTACCCATCATCAAGCTTCACTAAAGACCTGAATAAAAATGAAACATTCTCTTCAACATCAAAGCACATACTAGACTTTCCAGGGGAGAAAGTGATAAACTTCCCTGGCACTGAAACTGTTCCATGATGTTCACAATTCAACATAAACAACACACACACAATAAGAAAACAATGATGAGACAAGATCATTTGAAACCTCTGGTGCAGGAGGACAGGGACAAGGACACTCTGCGACCACAAAAATAACTAATCATTCTCCTTTTTCCACCAACACTGGTTACTACTGCTTCTTTATTAATAACAACGACCTCCACTTTAATACTCCTAACACCTAGATAAAAGTTACCAACACAGCCAATTCCTGAATTGTCCCATTTCATTAACCCCTCCTATGATCACCAAGCACAAACCCAAATCCTCTAAAAAGCTCTCTCAACTGCCTATTACCCAGACACCCATGGTTTCTATGGTGTGCGATCTCTCTAGCTGCAACAAACAAAATGAACATAATTTGTTTGACCACAGCCTTGCTTTCAGTGGTTCTTAGGGGGTAGGTTTCAATACAGGGCAATCCTGATATTAATAATCTGCCCCAGTGTCATTCCATGAGGTCCCAATTTTGGCTTTAGAAATTTGATCACCATAACTATGTTGCTGAAGCAACAAAAGAGATTCATGAGAAAGAGAGTCCCAATTTGAGATTACTGTCAATAAATGACTATGACCACCAGTCATCTAATTGTGTGAATCCCTAATCCACCCTACATGCACTATTTTACCTCCCTGAATATAGACTGAAGAATAGTGGTGGAGGCAATTGGTGGTGGGGGGTTGGGGGGGCGGCAGTGGCTATGGTGCTACTGCCAGTAGTGGTACAGTCTCGTTTCCTTCTTAGAGTTTTATTAGTTCATGAAAAGAAACAAAACACTCACCATAACCTAATAGATACCATTTCAGATAGAAATGTATTTCCCAACTTTAGAAATAATTATTGGTGACTTAAAAAAAAACCCTCATTATTATTAAAAAAATCTTCTGATACACAGATATATAAAACCAAAATTTCATCCTTAAAAATCAAGTAAGGTCAGGTTAAAGCAAGACAATAAATTAAAAAATTATAAAGACAACCAGAACACATTTTTGAGCACTTACTATATGCCTGGATTTGTGTCACTTTATATAGTTTATTTCATTTCATCTATCCAACCACCTTCTAAGAACATTCTCATTTTGGGCCAGCCCGGTGGCGCACTGGAGAGTGCGCCACTTGGGAGCGCAGTGGCGCTCCCGCCGAGGGTTTGGATCCCATGTGGAGACCGGTTCCCGCTCACTGGCTGAGCGCGGTGCGGGCGCGACACCGAGGGTTGCGATCCCATTACCAGTCAGTAAAAAAGACAAAAAGGAAAAAAAAAAAAGAACATTCTCATTTTACAGATGAGGAAACAGAGGTTCAAAGATGATGACTGCTTAACCTGAGACGCAGAACTACAAGTGGCAGAACCAAGTTTTGGAACCCAGATGTCTGTAATTCCAAATTTCAAGGTTACCAGGTAGATCATTTCTAATGGGTGTGAGAATAAAACAACACTGCCTTTGGAGTGATTATATGATTCAATTATAATAAAACCAGTTTAAAAAACATAAAAAATTATAGAACACTACTTAAAGTGTTTATAGTGTTAGAATTTAATTTTGCCACATGAAGAGTTTATTTTTATAATTCCATTTATAACCAGAATCTTCCAAGGAAAAGTTAGCTTTCACAAACTACTTGATATGGACAGTATACTTCATATAGAGTTCTATATCAACGAACACCCACATTTTAAAAACTAGTTAGTATATAAATTATTTGGATATAATCCTGGTTTTTTTATAAGCTTCTCCTTTCCAAATTATCCTCTAAAAGAGGAAATAATGCATGTGTGAACAATGCCTGTGTGAAGAGAATTTCAATGGGAAAGCATTATCCCTCCTCCCTAATAAATAAAATAAAAATAAAAGGACCTGTAAAAGACACTTCCACTGACAGATCTTTTCTGAATAAAATAAACAAGAGCAAAGGGCACCTTGACTTCTACTTAGGAAATAAAATCAGGACACAGGGAAATCTGTAATTCTAATCACATTTACACCTTCTCTCCTTTTTTACATTTCTCATCCAAACATCCTTCGGAGCTCAATAGGCTTACAAGAATTAGAGCAGGGTAAAGAAGGTGAGGGGAATCTGAGAAACAGTTTAAATGGCTGTTCTCGCCATTTTCATAATTTCAAAATGGATAATATATTTTTCAGAAGATGTAAAAGTCACAAATGTAGGAAGAAATGGTAAAAAGTTATTCTATCTGCTTATATAATATAAACAGTATCTTGGCTAACCTTCTTAGGAATTAACCACTGTGGACGAGAAATGCAAGAAAGCAGTAAAAAATATATTCCAAGGAAAACGAATATCAAATTAAATGCATTAGCTTTAGTCAAAGAAAAGCTATGTGCTAAATAAATATATTTGTTAAAAAGAATATTAATATTTGTATTCTCATGTGGAAATGACTACTTATATTTTAACTATGTTCTCTCTTGAGATTGAGATAAATTTAGAAAATAAGATACCCAACTGGTATATCAATCATGTGAAATGTTACAGATCATATGTAAATACAAAAATAAAAAACATTTATGAAGCATGTGGTATGTGTAGTTTCCTCTAGTTGGGAATGAGATTTTTTTAGTGGGAGGAACAGAGAAATTAATGTTAAAAGAAACAGTTTAATATTTTGATGAATTCTTCAAATAAAATAGCCAACAATACAGAGACAAGAAAAATTCAGAATTATACCAAATTCATATATGAATGCCCTTTATTGGGTGAGTTTAAATCAGAATACTTTCCTTTAACTTTTCCTTAAGAAAATACCAAAGGAATTTAGCACTTGTTTTCACCAGCACCACTGAGGTCTGCAAGAGTGCAACCCTGCACAGCCCCTTCAGTGGGTGCTGCTGTGATTCTCCCATCACCTTAAGCCACAGAAAAGGAAGGCACTAGCAATGGGGAAATAACCCAGAATAACTTAGAAAAAAAAGATTCTTGCCATCTTGGCATCTTCTTGTGTCATGTGTAACAAATGCAACTAATTACAACTATTTTTTGTAGGGCAGAGCTTCAGTTTTCCCTTACATCCTGGTAAAAAGCTATCTCAGTGATTGATATTCTGGAAAGCCTCTTTTCAAAAGAGATGACACACACAAGGTTCTAGAAATGCCACACATTCTAGTCGATGTGTTACATTCAGCAGGTACCAGAAATACTGAGATATGAGAGAGAATGAAATCGGGGACAGATCAGCCAAGGTTATGGCAGTCAGGGGGCAAAATCTAATAATTCAGGTGAGGATTTCACAGCTCAGTGCTCTCACCCGCCTCTCCTCTCCACCCCACACGCACACACTTTGGTTTTATCAGCAGCTAAGTGAGGTTTCTCCTTAATGAAAGAATACACTGAAATAAGAAAATACAGATTTATGAGGAGGTATTTTCTTTGAAGACAGGAGAACTGTCCGAAGCTGAGAATATCAACTATGTTGTTTCCAGTAATATAGAAAAAGCACCTCATACCGAATAAGTATTCAAATAAATATTTGCATGTTTAAGACCAGTCAGGCAAACTCAAATAGATTCAATGTCCCCAAATGCCCAGATTTTCGTCGTAGGATGACTTAAGAACTGAGTTCACAACCAGCAAGGCAATCAAGAAAAGCTTTACAGGTCGGTAGTGCTAAGAGCAAGTCTCCCAACCCTGGAAACTCAAGCTGACGATGCATTTTAGACTTAAACCTTTTCCACAAGGTCTTTGTTCAACCAATAACCTCACAGATCCATCTGTGTGTTGGCTTCATAGTCACAGCTAAAGAGGTGCATTGCTCCAGTAAGATCTTACTCAGCTTCAGACACCTGCTATTGCGTGTGACAACTAAGACCCACTCTTCCAGACAGAACCTACACGGGAACTCCCGCCAGCAGGAGGAAATTTACATGGTGGGGATGGGGAGCAGGGCATGAAGGCGCAGTCAATAGGCGCTTACAGGACCTATGGTCTACACTGGCCACACTAATTGTATCCTTTCCTTTGGAATCTTTGGTATAGCTCACCCATGTTAAGTGGCTCCCCAATACGTTCAGTGTGATCCCCTGTTGCCATAACACCCTTCAGACTTAAAACGACCTCGTGGCCCCGGGAGACACAATGAGCAGCTGCGGTTCGCCTTAGGAGAACTCGGTGCCAGGGCGCGGAGGGGCAGCTAAGCGGCACGTCCCTGTGGGTGTACAGGGTCCGAGTCCTAATTACAGAGGACACCTCCTGCCCTTGTTAGTGCCCCATCCTCCAGCAGAGGAGCATAACGCAGGTTTGTACTTTTAGTATCAAACTTGGGGCGGCCAACTCAACACCTTCCACCTTGGAAAAAGCAGCGAATCGAAGACCCCCGGCGGGGCACTGGTGAAATTCCCACTCGGCAGAGAAACACGGTCAGGCTGCGCAGCCCTCAGACGTCTGCTTTCCTGTCTCCTCCCAACGGATCGTTCGAGACTAAGGGAACCCGGGCGGGAAGCAAACGCCCCCAACCGCAGGCGTAGTAGGGAGTCCCCGGAGCTGCGCTGCGCTCGAGATGTTCACACCAGGCATCCCCACAGGCCTCACCGGGAGTAACCCTGGCGGCTGGAGAGACTGAAAGCTCATCTTCCCACGAAGTGCCACCCCCGAGAGCCTGGGGGAGCGCGGGGCCGGCGCGCGGACGCCCCCCGCACTGCGCCCAGGGGCATGGCTCTGCGCCCGCCAGCCGCGCCTTACCTGCACGGGGCGAATCCGGCAGCCCCTTGACAGCTCCCCCAAGCCGCCACTGGAAAAGTTTCCGAACTTCTTCGCAGGTCTGTACACTCTCGCTTCGGATACACCCAACGAGAGCCAGAAGGAGCAGACAGCGAAAGGCCACGCGCCAGGGCTGCGTGTCCATCATCAGCGTCCTGCTCGCCGCCTTTCCGGCTGTGGACCCCGCTCTCCCCGCGCGTCGTGCGCTGGAAGCGCTAGAAAAGGCTCGGCGGTCCAGGTTTCCAAGGATGTGATCTGGGGCAGACGCTCCGGGATCGCCTTCACCTGGGAGCACTTGGCTTTCTCCTACGGAGCCCCGAGGCTGAGACAACAGAGTTTCGGGCTGTGCACCGCCAGGTCCCCTTCCCCGGCCGAGGCGAGTTGGCGCTGCGCGAGCGAACGAAACTGCTGAAGGCGCAGGGAGCCGCGAGCACCCGGCTCTGGCCACCGCCTCCGCAGCAGCCGCGGGATC